ATACCACAGACCTTTAGCAACTTTGAATGCCTCTCATGAGAACCTTCACATGAAATGGAAAGCTTTTACCCTTCACACGCACAGGGCTATGACTCCTTTTTGTACTGCAAGCCAAGAGGTTGGCTCAGCTGTCCCCAAACCCTCCAGTCCCCTTAGCACATGCCAGAGAGAAAGGAACTGTGAAGACAAGGATGTTTCCTGAGGGAAGCCCACTCACACATAATTGCAGTCTTCAGGAGGCAGCTGAGACAAATCACATAAAAGCAGCTGAAGGGAAGAACACATTTTTCTCTTGGCTAGCTCCTGTATCAGCGCTTTGGAAACAGCCACTCCCCAAACAGAACAGAATTCAGCTATCAGAAGACTCAGAAACTCCAAGCAAACTTGAACAGGATGGGACTTTCCCTCCAAGGTAACACCACCTTATCTTTAATAACCTCCTAAGACTCTTCCCAGCAATATCAATCAATGACTCCTTCCCACCCTGGTCACCTGGTTACTAATCCAAAACGAAAAGACCTAAATAGAGAAAAAGAATCTGTTCTGATTAAATGGATGTTTCTGGGTCATGTTTGCTGGTGACAAATGGCACCAAGTTGAACAGCAATTCTGAGTAATGAAGTAGTGTGACTAGCACTGATTTAACCTTTAATTGGTTTGAGCAACAAATGCCAACTTCTGAAAGTCTCAGAAGCTGGTAGTGAGAAAACCAAACCGTGATGGAAAACAGTTCTAACTGTCAATGAATAAAAACCATTTTGCTTAGAGCCCCTCCTAGTAGAGCAAAGGGTATTTTTGAAGATTAGGGCACAGAGAGAGGGTGGAACTCAGAGGTTCCGCTCCTGCAGTTACTACAGGTTTTCTATTTGACTATGAGCACAGCAAGTAATCACAGCATCTTTCAGCTTCCTTATCTGTAAGTAATATTTTTCTGCTTGACACTGAAAACGTACTCACCTGTTCAGTAAAGACTCAGAAATAACATAGCAAACGCTGCTTTTGCCTTTAAGTGATCAGCAAAAAGACAACAGTTTTATAACTGTAATGGTCTGACAAGAATTAACTGGACTGCCAACAAATATATTGAGATGAGTCACTGAAAGAAACGTGGGGACATGCAGATGTTTGTTCTGAAGCTATTCAGGTGGAAAGTGGGTATGTCTCAAAAGAAAGGGAGGTCTTTGCCACGACATGTTTTTTTCCTAGCTACCCTACCGAAATATAAAGTGCTTTCAAAGCTAGCAACACAACTCTTCCAGATATGAGCGGCTCATTTCAGTCTTTTGTCTCATCCCATGGCTTGCCCCCAGCTTTGCCCTTTAGTTCTCAGACCTCTTTTTTTACAGTAATGCCATTATCTCGGGCCATTTCAAGGTGCATCGTTCCTTCACGTGTGTCACAGGTCAGCACGACGCAGAATTTGACCATCCGTACTGCTACCTCAAAGATACGTTACCAGAACTGGCTCAGAGAGAATCCTGTCCTGAGAGCACTGCTCTGGCCGGTGACCTTCCCAAACTAGCCCATCTGTCATGCAGCTAATGAGGAAGGAAGGAAAGACGTGTAACTTAGAGATCTTGAGTTTTCTGCCTCTCTATTCGAGGGCTTAAAAGCCTCAGCATCAGCCCCATTCTGAAAAACTGTGTGTGGGTACCGATAAAGCCATGGAAGTCAGGCGAGGCTCTCTCTTTGTTTTCAACTTGCAACGCTGGATCCTAGTCGGACAGAGACACGGCAATGTCTTGCTCACAGTGTAGCTGAGCAGTGGTAGAACAGAGGTAAGCCTGTTACCTACAATACTGAACTTTCCAAAGCTACGGAACTACAGTGCAGCTGCTGGCAAGGAAAGCTGAACTGTCTCATTAGTTACCACCCTCTAGAAGTCCTCTTTGAGAATTTTGGCCTTCCCCTGGGGACTTCTGTCCCCTCTCCCTGACTTCCCTGGCAGCGTGTGCAGATACCAGACTGCATGGCTTTCTTCACTGGTGGTTGTTCCCTGCTACAACCGGAGTCAGAGCGATGAACGCACCTGCATGTCAGAGTCCAGACAAGAGAGGGGAACCTGCAGAGATCATGCTAAGAGGCACTCACACACAGCCACCTTGCCCGGCTTCTCCCCCGTGGCCATATTCATTTGTTTTTGAGGGAAAAGATATTCTTCAGCCTTGGAAAAACAAATTTGACACAGTGAAGCACAGCAAGAACAGCGTAAAAGAGGGAGCCACAGCAAGTCATAGAGTCTTATGCCCAGTCAGACTGATACTTTGCTAAGTTGTATTATCTCCTGCTTTCAAGAGCTATTAGCTCATTGTATCAATCTGTGAGAGTTTCCTAGAAGTTCAAAAAGTTTAATTTTCAAAACTAAGAAACCCCCCCAACCTGTTCTTTGTCTAAATACAATCTTCCCCTGTGCAGCCTTCAAAACAGCTGCACTGATTCTGCTAAATGGGCATGACAGTGGGAAAAAAATAGTATTTGAAAATAGATATTCACCCTCCTTTACAATTTGGCAAGAAATATATCTATGAATCGAAGGTGACAAACGATCACTAATGCTCCATTGACTTCGGTAACTCACTACTGTACAGGAAAACTGCACAACTACCAGAATGTTGCTGGCTGCACAGAAACATTGCTGTGATGACCAGAGACATGTTCTTTTGTGAACAGGCTGGGCTGTAGCTGTATTTACTGAGGGCCTAATCAGCAGTTACAGCTCACTACGCACATGGCTTTCAGAACAGCGTATAAAGGTGTTTCCTGTTTTTCTCTGCTAAGAAAGAAAGAGGTTTTCTATCACAATCAGATTAAAACAAGAAAAAAAGCCAAGCCTTTTCTGTGGTAAAGCAAAAGAGGAATCCCTGCTATACTTGACAGCAACTTTTCAATTTGAGACACAGTAACTCCAATACTAAACTGATGGCAGGAGACAGCCACGAACGTGAAGACTGTTGAAAGAAAATTATAAAGTTCCAGAAAATTATAAAATCACAGGCTGCTTTTTTGCAAGATACCCCTCACTTGCTCCTTATGCCCGCAAGGAGCAGTGAAGAGTTAAACATACAGCTGGTTATAGCCTGCCCAGTAAGACAATATGATCGCCATTTCCTAAAATGCTTTATACAACAACAGGAATATTGACTTATGAGAAGGTAGCCCCTCCCAAGCCAGAATGGAAATGGGGACTAATGCCAGAGTCAATAACATCACATTTCCTTCATGGTCCGTTCCCTTCAGCATGGGATAAGGAAATAGTAAACTAATCTCCAAAACTCGGCGCATGCGAAATACCTTACGGACTGTTTGCAATATATTCCCAGTTAAGTTTTCTGCTCTTGGTTTTTCAATTCACCCAGAAGCTCTGCGCTCCTCCTTCCTGTGCCTAGCTGGAGCTGTGGGGGAAGCAAACTTTCAGAAAACTGTTCTCTTTGGGAATACGAGCCTTGCATCATCCTTCCTAACAAACGTAAAAGAACAGTAAAAAGATAGCGGGTAGTAGAAACTACTTGTCAACAGCCTGACAGCAGAAGCAAACTTTGCATCACCACGAAGCCAAAAGGGGAAAGGGTGAGCCCCAGCCTCAACTCTTGTGTTACCCGCCCCAGTAAGTGCAGTCATGCGGCAGCTGCCATCCGCCCGCTGTAGGTGTAGATTTTAGACACCTAGGAGCCTATTTCCTTCCTAAAAGATAATTTTGCCCAAGCCTTACAGCAATAGACAGGTATCACTAAGAAAGTGCTCACGGGAAGAATTATACAGAATGTGAATCCGGCGCTGCGTTCCCTTTAGCATTCGCATCGCGGAACAGGCGTGGCTGAACTGCCAGACCAGACAGGGCTCGCGCATTTCTAAACCATTCAGATGTGATCCAAGCCAGAGATAACACTCAACTTATTGCAACAGATTTTCTGCTGCTGGGCAGCACTGAAATAAGGTTATTGGAATTTGTAGGTGTAAACGTGAAGGTGCCAGTTGTTTGCTGCAATTAAAAAAAAGTGGTGTTCTTTTCTGTTAAGCTAGGAGGAATGCTTCTTCCTTCAGTGAGGAAAACTTATTGTTCAAACCCTCAACTCTTGTCTGTACTGCACTTACATTCCTGTGCTTGCTTTTGGTTTTGGTAAAGTGGGAGCTTTGGTTTAGGGGTTCCCGTACACAGGGAACCATTCTGAACCTTGAGAGGGCAGGTTCTGTGTTAAAGTAATGAATGAAGACAAGAGGGGGAAGCTTCAACTAATTTACGTGTGATTAGTTATGATAGATACATTTTTCATGCCGTGACATTCTTCATGCAGGAAAAGTAATAATGGACCTATACATGTGTAAAAGGAAGCAGCAACGTATTTTCCTGGGGGACACTAGACTTTTACACAGCCATTTGTTCTTCTAGTCCTTGGCTAGGCAAATCCCTTTTCTACTTTAGCCATTCAAGAAGCACAAAAACTGTCATTTGTTCTTCTAGTCCTTGGCTAGGCAAATCTCTCCTCTTGGCAGATGGGCAGAAAGTGAAGACAGGTCAACCTTGGAGAGAAAGAATGCATCATGTACAAGATTTTGGAATTAGTTATGATCTGAGTTGGGCATGTAGACAGGCTTGTGCATGTATTCCTTTTATGACACGACCGGCATATTTCTCAACAGGATAACAACCTAATTTAAGAATAAACTTATCAGGTGACCATCGGTAGTAGAAGGAAGCCAACATGAGCAAAGTTTTATCTGTAAAATAACTTAAATATCAAAGCCTCCTGTGGCAAAGGGAAGTAAAGAGAGCAGAGAAAAATAGAAATGTTAATATTAATTTTCACATGCGCTCACCAAAAGGGACTTTTGCTGACATGAAGCATGCTAGAAAGGAAGTGTTAACAAATTCTGACAACAGAAGCGTACAGTTGCTACAGATCTTCATACTTCAGATTGCAACATGCACTGCTACAGCAGTAGAAGTGCTCACCAATTCTAAGTTTAGCAGCTGTGGAATAGCACACATACAGAAATGTTACCTGTAATCCACAGCAGCCCACTGCATTCATTATTGAAGCATTATGAATGACCTTGTATGGAATCCCCAACTTCACTGCACGTAGTACTAAATCACTGTGCGTCGTGGCCCTGGGTAAAGAAAAGAAAGGAATTAAAGATTGACAAGACAAAGTGACTGAATGTTACTACCATTATCGTTTGTTTAGAAAGTAAAATTAAACCCTTCACAACTAGGTCAGTGCAGAGGTGCCAAAAGGGCAACAATAACTTGACTAATCCTCACGCGAAAGTAAAAACTCCAATAAGGAGTGATCTCCTCTAGCTGAAAATACAGGCATCCTTAGTACACTGTGGTTCTTTGCAGCTTTCTGGCACCATTAAAAGTATAACACCAACACAACTATTACTTTTTAAAGTCGCTTTGGCAAGTACTTGAAAAGGAAAGTTCTATTTGTCCTTTGTCTTCGGCAGGTGTCTGTTGGACAACTGTTGAACTGTAAAGGTCAATGCTATTTGGCATAGACTTCAACAAAACTCCAGCATTTCCTTACTTGCTGCACAGCCAGGCCTTCTCCCATCGGCACCAGCGCATGCCAGCAGGGCAACACACGCCAGCGAGAATTTTGAACAGAGGTAACCTGCATGCAGTACTTGGAAAAAACATCCTTAGGCTAAATCAACTTTTATCATACTTAAGCCAAATTACTCAAATTAACAATGCCTAAGTTTGAGTGATCAAGTTTGTTCTGCAATAATTATGAAAATTCTAGTTAAGCTTAGAACTGAGCTAAATTTGGCTGTGGGTCTAATGCTCAATAAACACCTTGCAGCGACTGGTGCAAGAATTTCTGGGCTTGTGGTTAACGCAATTGGGATTAGAGTTCTTTTAAAATAGTAAGTATATATAGAGACAGCAAATCTTTGAACTGCAGCAAGCTTACATATGTATCTTGCTTGCATGTATGCTCACATGCATGCTAGGCACTCCATTTTACAGATGAAATATGAAAATGCACCTACCCCTTGCCTAAACGCACCTACCCCTTGCCTAAATTCATCAAACCTGAACAATGGCCTTAGCCATCTCCTTCCCAAGATGTACCACGCATTTCTGTGTGCCATTCCAAAGAAGGAAGCAAAGACAGAGATAGCATATGCCAATCAGAACAGTTAAATAGGAAGACTGCTTTCACCCTGGCCTGGTTCAGCTACCCTAAACAGAATTCTCCTGATTTTTTAGTCAGATAATTCTGACACTGCATGTCTGACTAGCACCAATCAGCAGATCAGGTGCTTCAGACTGGAACACAAATGTGGCAGCAGCTGGCAAGGCTGGAAGGATCAATCGTTTAAAAAAGAAATCAATTTCACTGGAGGAAAAAAAACCCAGAGGAATCTGAATTTGTGAAATCAGAGACCCTGATACAAACAGGCTCCCAGACCCAGGGGAATGCAGTAAAGGGATCTAAAACACCACTTTGGTTAGTAAACAAACTATGCTCCTGCTTTCCATAAGCAAAGGTGATTTAAGAATGCCCGGTCGAAGAGAAGAGCGGACTAGTTTTATGGCCTTGTATTATTCCCTTCACGTACACAGGACAAGTAGCACTGGAGGATTTTGTGCTTATGCTAATACTGACCAAGGGATCAGCTGGCTTTATTCACTGAAATTTGCTCCAGCCAGTATTTTCTCCCAATAGATCGGTCCATAATGACTGTAGCTAAAAGCAGAAGTGCCCTGGTGAGCACTCAGCTAATACCAGCAAAGGCTTCACAGAGTCAGCCCGCGGCACTCAGAGCTACACTAGTATTTTCTGTCGCTGATACAGATTTTAAGTTTTATGGGTAGCAATAATATGAATGTTAGCACCAGGCTAGATGAAGGTGGGCTTTCCAGTACACTACTAAAATTTTCAGGCTCCTGCTAGCACATCCATAGCTGCTACCACATATGCAGATAAAAACTTGCAGTGAACAACTGTGAGAAGAACGACAGGGGCACAGCCTGTTTTATCACTTTAGCCATTAACCACCATCACCTGAGATTTCCTAAGGCTGCCAAGTACTCTTCATAATATACTGCAAATATACTTGAAACTCTATGATCAGCTGCAGTCGCATGGCTTCTATCCTCCTCCCATATGGCTTCTCTTAGGACAGAAACATTCAGTACTCTTTCCTAGTAACCTCATGAACCCCAAAGTCCTTCGGGCTCTGTGTGGGCACAGCTGTTCTAGCAGCAATATCAAGAGCTAAGCAGCAATGTATTCAAAAAAAGGGTAGTTTTCTACAATGACGTAGTATGCTAATCAGAATTGAAGTATTTTGACACTGAAACGAACGATAACTGAGTCAGATCAAGATACTGCTAAAAGTAGCAATTACATTTCAGTACATGAAGGCTGGTTTTTTTCATCTTCTGTCTTGCATCAGTCGCTGGATCAGAGCACAAGGGTACAGGTAACGTGGCCCTACGCTCAACACGAATCCTCTTTCTAATGTTAACATGCATTGAAAGTATAATTAATATTTCTGAAATACAGCATCATCTGCCCATAAGTATTCATATAATAATATTCTCTTGCCAATTCCCTTCAACCTGTATTTACATAAATTATTTGCTTTTGACAAATGTGCGCGCTGCTCCTCTTTTTCATAAACTCTCTCTATTTTTTCACTCACAAATAGGGTGCTCAGTGATTTGATTTTTCTTGTGCCCCTTTAACACTGCGGTATAAATCTTGATCCACCAGCTGGAGACTAAAAGCTCTTCTGTATGGCTTGACGTTACAGATTGATGATGCCTGACTGAAAAGACAGAAGGAGATCCTTCTGGAGAGAGAAAAAGACTATACTTTTCGGCAGGAATAAAAAGTGGAAACAAAAGGCTTAATAAACCAAAATGAGAAGGCATTTATAACGACCTAAGTGATTTTTAAAAGTAGCATATATCAAAGCAGGAGCACTGTACAACCAACAATCAGCATTCGTTCTAAAACAACTGAGCGTAAAAGCTGGAGTTTACAAGTACAAAGAGGAACTAAAAGAATACTCTCTCAAAACATAGCACATCTCTTGATTATGTGATATCCTAGGATTTCTTCTGTTATCAGGTAAAACCTGGAACAAAATATTCTCTATAAACACCAGCAGGGAGAATGAAATGGTAAGTGATTGCCAAAGGAAAGATTTATACATCCCGGAGGGTCCACATTCCTATCTGTAGGGGGTATCTGGGCAAGGAAACTCCAAAGCAAGACAAAGTGTAGACAACTGCATATATATATTTCTAATAGAATAAAAAATAAAAGTGCTTTTGGTCTGAAAGTCAGCTTCTTGATAAAGAATTACATCTATGGAGTATGGCTCCTTCCTTCTGAAAAAAAGTGATCAAGCTACAGCAATAATCAAAATGTTGCCTTGTCTTACCCAAAAGGATCACCAACAACAAGAAATGCGACATCGCAAACATCCGCTTCTTTCAAAATGCTGTCTGCTTCTTGTTCCACCATTTCTCGGTCAGCCAAAATCAATTCTTTTCCATAAAACTCTTCCTAGAAATTGGAATTAAGAAGAAACACCAAAATAAGACACTCAGGAGTGTTTTCGTAGTTCTCTGGGTGCTCGCTCAGGAACAGACAACAGACGCTGGAAAGGCCAACTTTATTGTTCCCCCGCAGCAGTCTGACCCATGTCTTAGAGAACCCTGCCTCCCCTTGCAAGAACACCTGAGCTTCCTGTAAAGCAGCTCCTGAGTTGACAACAATTAAAGTGCATTATTCTGATCCTGGTTTTTTATGCCTTCAGTGTCAGTTGAGGAGCTGCTCGGAAACAGCTCAATCAAACCCACGTACTGAAGGTGCCTGGGTGGAGCCTAAGTAGAGTTAATTTAACCGGTCATCATGTAAGGCATCCCCCCGCACAAGTCTGAGCCTAACTGCTTAGGTTAGGTGCAATACTGACATCAAACCAGATACAAATATGACACTATCTATACCACAACCTAGGGGGTTTTTTAGATTTTTTTTTTCCTTAGTACATTGTAACTAACCACATCTAAGGAATGATTTCACATTAATGCTTCACCTTCGGTTCTCTGTAAGAAATGCTTCACTATGTATACAGGCAAACAGGTATTTGATCGCATACTTCTCTCTTCTTCAGCAGCTCAGTAATCATCGTGTCTCTTTGTATGTTTTAAATGCCTTTATTTCCAAAATCAATCTCACAAGTAATAAAACTTCAGTTAGTTCTAGAACATGTTGTCTGACACACCTGTACCAAGTCATGTGTCACCACACATTTCATGTGCTCTTGACATGATTAGATAAAGGGCTTTTTCCAGGGCACAGGCCAAAAAAGGTGCTTTTGTTCTAAATAGTAATCAGAAAATTTGGGTAGTATTACAAATATTAACAAATTGATAAAACTATTAAGTCAGTTATGGTCCAGAAAGATTTTCCTCTGAGTTCTCCTGTGACTTCAGGGATAGCTCCACCTTTGCCCCCAAAGAAACGTGAATTGACAAGAGAACCACCATACTCGTAGCAAAGCAGAGCCGTGCTTCCATAAAAAAATCCACCCCATAGCTAGAGCACTAGATACCGGCCCTCTGTTTTTGGGTTCAGTTCCCTTTTCTAAAGATGACTTCCTCACCACTTTTGCCTAAGTTTCTCTGCCTCTGTAAAATGAGGCTATTATTTTCCCTGTGGAACAGACCGCAACCTGTACAGGTTCGATAGAGAGGCAACCAAATAAATGAACAAGCCGATCTTGTGTCTGTGATTCAGAACAGTTAACGGCCACCCTGGAGTACTGCTGAGGTCTGTACTAAACAAGCTACAAGGAGTCTTGACGCCCCATTTGTTTTTATGGGTATCTTACACTAGATGCACATCAGCAAGTAGTACAGCACAACAGGAGCTGATCTGTACAGCAAAGCACTTGGTGCCGAGAACTCGGTAACACCACCACATACGTTTTGGTGGGTTTACCATTGGACCAGAATAACTTTAGTCCAGTACTGTAAGCGAATGCACACTAGAGGATATCAGGCGCATTCCTGGACGTGCACCTTTCAGTTTGTTTTCATCTCATGGAATTCATTTGCATGCTTTGAGACTGCTCCACAATGAAATCAAAGCACATTAATTAGAGGATATATAAAAAGCACTCTCCTGACAAAAACTGAAATGTAGACTCTCTGGGTCCAAACAGTTCTTTCACCAAATTGAGGGGCGAAATAGATGATCAACATCAAATAACTTTTAATATATGTTTTAGGCCAAAAAGATAAACTAAGCAAGTCACGCCATTTGAATTTTGAGATCTGATTTTAAAAGCACCAGCACAGGAAGATTTCTGGAAAAGTCCCTGCAGGAAAGAATCTGTTCTTTATCTCTTGAGAGCTTTCCGTAACTTTTCACATTGCTCAGGAGAGACTGATCTTCAGATTATTAAATAAACCATTCGGCATTGTCACTTGTATGTAAACTGGGCTGTATTATCAACACTTGGTGATTAATTCCTATATTCCGACTTTGGCAGTTTCGGGTAAGACAGTATCTTTTACTTTGTTTTTATTGATCATTTCTCCCAATCACCTCATCTTTGGGACTTCAAGTTTTCCAAAAGACTTAAAACAGTAAAAACCAAAACGAATGCCCAAAAATAGCCATGCCAAAAGTATTCAGCATTTTTCTACTATTCTTTTCAGCTGGCTAGGAAACTATCAGTTTTTTGATAGCAAATAAAGATTTTGCAATGTAAAAATTTCCAAGGAATCATTTCTGGTTTTCAATTTTCCAATTATCCAACAACCAAAAAACAAAATTTTGTTTCAAATGGATTAATTTCAATACAGATTACTTCAGTGTACTGAACCCCAAAACCCAAAACAAACAGAAAACCATGGAGTATATCCTTTCAAAATACTGCAGATAAACCAGAGATGGCCCCAAATATTCCAGCCCGCCTTGTATCTGGAAACCACATAATGCTGACTACGAGCTGTAAGTCTCACGTGCTGTATGTATGCAGAGGTTTGCATACAAGTACATTATGGCTATACAGCATCCAAGACCCAGAGAGCATCTCTGTATAGTACTACACGGCTTATTCGGAGGCGAGATCCCTGTTCTGTGGGTAGGTAAGCCCTTTTTTTTTGTATTATTTCAACATTAAACTTTATCTTTCTATGACCAAGCGAACCCCTCAGAGTTATCATTTGTACACTTTTACTACTGGCTTCTTCCACAAGGTGTGTTTACTAACAAAAAGCCCCTCCGCATGCTGTTCCACAGCCCATCTCTGACTGAGCTGTGTACATTCCGGAAGCCCCAACGTGGTGAGGCAGCCTGGCCCACGAGGACACGCGGAGATGTGCGACTGTCAGTGTTATTCCCAGCAGGCACACCCCGATACCTGGGGCCGATACAGAGGTTCAAGGCTCCAAAACATGGATTGTTCTGGTACGTCTTTTGATTATTATTTTTGGTTTTGAACAGATCGGACATTTTTCTAACCAAGTTCTCCAATATTTCAGGATTTCCACACATCGCTAGAACGGGAGATGGAAATTGGCATCAGTAGCTGTAGGAAGGAACGTTTTCTTTTCGTTCCGGTCTTCTCACGTGGTAGCGAAATGGTTTCTCCTACAAAACACAGCATGTGAAGGCCACGGACG